CGGGGTGGTGTAAAAAAGAAAGAATAGATATATAATGGGGTGAAAAAGATTTTGACTCTTGATAGTTTACCTATCTTTCGGGTCTTGTATTGAAAAAACTCCATTATTATTCTCTTTTTATTAATTTCCTATTTACTTTAGCTATTTAAAATAATTATCTTGCTGTGTGTAAGCAAGAGTTGGTTAGGAGTTGGAGTCCTGATTATTAAGTTGGGCTAGTAAACTATCGTTCATCAGTTTTTGAATGAAATTTAATCTGTCTCCGTACATTCAGTCGAGAGAGTATCTCGTGTTCTTCCCATTCGTAACACGTTCTACATCAATAAGGTAACAAGAACCTTAGAAAATTAACCAAAAATATATTTTGAATCTAAGATTATGTCATTTTAACTTGAGTATAATTCAAAGGTTATAAATGATGGCCTTTGGTTTTATTAAAAGTTCAAAATTTTTGTTTTGTGAGTATTGCTTAGAAGGTGAAAAAAAAAAAAAAAAAAAAATAGAGGTATATATCTAACTATGTGTTGGAATTGATTCATTGTGATCAGTGCAATCCTATGTTTATCTAGATTAGAGGTGCTTTTGAAATTTTCATCTTATTTGTTGACGATAATTTTAGATATGGATAGATGTCTATTACGCGTCATACTATAAACTCAAGGAATACAAGTCTATATAGAGAATCATCTTGATCAAGATACGATGATCTGATTGTGGTGGCGAGTACCACCTGAGAAATTTTATGAGCTAATTATCATAACTAGGGATTCAATTCCATTTATCATGAATTGGCATCTCATGGAAATCGTTATATTGATAATGAGTTATTCAGGATTACCGGATTGGTTCTAGACGTATGCTCTCGAAACAACAACCTATATTATAAATTTGATGCATTCTAAATAATTTTAATTTTAATTTTAGAGTTGTATTAAATTTTATTTTGTACTAATGTATTTCATGGAGAGAAATACAACGCCAACGACTGGAAAGAAAAGTTAAATTTAGGCAATCTCGATTCTAGAGTAGAGTAAACTCTACATTAAAGTAGAGTAGAGGATTGAAGATGGTCTGGTCTTACTTTCCATTTCTCTTTTGTCCACTATCCAGACAAAGTAAAGCAAAAAATAATGCAATAACCATGTCTATGCTAAAAGTTGAGCCAACAAAAGTCCACCTAACATTTAGCTTCCATGTAAAATCATGATACAAATGTCGAACAAAAAATTTCAAATAATTACATGCAACTGCTCCTTAATACAATCCAAATTGTTCAGGAGATCAAGTTCTAGAAATTGCATGCATTACCCAGGCATCCAAACAAGAAGGCAAACGAAAGAAGACAATCACAGCCTTCGTTCTCTTGCTGCAGGCTGTTTTTGTTAGGTTTGCTTCCCAACAATTGACTGCAAATGAACCCTTGCATTGGCAGCGGCATAAATAGACACTTCATCTTGCTTTTCTTTGGCAGCTGCCACAGC